AACAATTACATATAAAGGAAAAGAAATCATGGTGCTTAAACAAATCCCAAGAAGAGTGAGAGAGCAGAGGCAAGATTATAAATTCTTGGCGAACCAATTAAACCAAAAAGGCATCATATTCAGATGGCTAATCCCAGAGGGAATGCTAATTACATGGGAAGAAAGAAAAATTAAAGTAGACTCCGTGGAAAAAGCCCAAGAATTTTATGAACGATTGGTAGGCCGTGAAGAATCGAGTAGTAGAGATGAATTAGAAACGAATTCGCAAGATGACCAAGACTATCAAAAAAATAGAGATGGGAATCATAGGAACTCAAAAAATATACAACATCAAGAGAGAGAAGAACCAAAGACGCACAATCAGCCACAAAGAGACAGGAGTAACTACAAGACAAAGAGCAAGAGTCAATTAGGTGATGGACGAAGAAAAGAAAATATCAATTAACATAAATGGCCTAAACTCTAGGATAAAAAGGAAAAGAATACTAACGAAACTAATTAATCAAAATGCAGGTATAATATGTTTACAGGAAACTCATTTAAGGAAGAAGAAAAATATCTAGAATGCCCCAAGCTAGGGAATTTGTATACGTCGCCAGCAGATTTTAGGAAAAAGAAAAGGATAGCAGTATATGTGAAGGACGACATGAAAGCAGAGCTAATTTGGACAGACCCAATGGAAGAATTCTGGTGCTACAAATTTGGATTAAATCAATTCCAATTCTATTAGTGGTAATTTATGCCCCTAACGATAACCAAAAAGGAATACATGGGAAAATAGTGGAATTAGAGAAAAGAAATATTTGTATCTTGGGGGATTTCAATGTTATTGTGGACCACCAGAAAGATCACGGGGGGGTGGGGGGGAAGAAAAAAAGAGAACTACCAAAAACATGTGAGGGAATGATGATTGAATTAAATTTGATAGACATGTGGAGGAAATTAAACCCTGAGAAAAAACAATTTACATTTTACTCTAATCCTCACCAATCATGGACACGAATTGACATGGTGTGGATGAATGGTGAGCTAATAAATGAATTAAAAGAGATTGAAATTTTACCAAACAAATGGGCAGATCACAACCCGATTCAGATAGTGTGGAAAGGTAGGAAGAAACCAAGAAAAAGGTGGACCCTAAATACACAGCTAATTAAAGAGAAAGAATTTATGAAGAGACTTAAGGAGGAATTAGATTATTTCTTAAAAGAAAATAACAATGAGGCAACTACAAAACAGAATATTTGGGATACAATGAAGGCAATAATAAGAGGCACAAGGATATCATACACTGCTAAAAGAAATAAAGAAAAATATGCCCAACAAAATAAATTAGAACAAAGAATAAAAGAATCAGAAATTTAGCTACAAAACACCCCAAAAATTGTAAATTGAAAAAACAGATGATAATAACTAAACATAAATTAAACTTAATCGAACAAGAAGGAATGGCTTTAAAGCTGAATACAGATAGGCAGATATTCTTTGAACAGGCCAATAAACCAGGAAGGTGGTTGGCCTACAAACTTAAAAAAGAAAAACAAAAAAGATTGATCTACCAATTAATAGATGAGAACGGGGATGCCCAACAAGGGATAGAACAAAAAAAAGAAATTGCATGTAAATTTTTTGAAGATCTTTATAAAAAGAAGGAGGTAAACGAGGACACGATAAGAAACTATTTGGGTATTACTAAAGATAAAATAATCAAGGAGGAGATGAAGGAAATGTTAACTAGAGACATTACGTGGCCTGAGTTAAAAGCAGCAATAGAAAACCAAAAGAACAATAAAACCCCAGGACCTGATGGGATACCAGGGGAACTCTATAAGAAAATAGGAGAACAAATAGGACCTCTCAGGGTGGAAGTATATAATGAGGTCCTACTAGCAGCCAGAATGCCGGATTCATGGAAGGAGAAGATTCAGATTTACGACTTATACAAAATTATAGACCAATTTCCCTGTTAAACACTGATTATAAAATATTTACCACAATTATAGCAAATAGATTGAAAAAGATATTGAATGAATATTTACATAAAGATCAAAATGGATTTCTTCCTAATAGACAAATTAGGAACAATTTAAGAATAGTATTAAATGTTTTGGAATACTACGAAGCCCATCTGGAAAAACAAATAGCCCTTGTATTCTTGGATGCACAGAAGGCCTTTGACAATCTAAATTGGCAATTCCTAATCCAACAAATTTACAATATGAATCTAGGCACTAAATTTGAAAACATTGTGACCACAATTTATGATTCACAAAAGGTGAATATTATAATTAATGGAGAGTACACGCGCTCAATAAAAATAGAGAAAGGAGTTAGGCAGGGATGTCCACTATCTCCCCTGCTCTTCATATTATCGTTGGAAACATTGCTTACATGAATTAGACAGAATCCAGGAATAAAAGGACTAAAAATTAAGAAAGAAGAATATAAACTCCAGTCATTTGCAGATGATATGTTTTTTTTTCATAGAAGAGCCAATTGAAACAGGTCAAGAACTATTGAAAGAGTTAGATCAATTTGGGAAAGTTGCAGGACTTAAAATCAATAGGGGAAAAATGAAATTAATAACTAAAAATTTAACAGAAAAACAAAAATTAAAATTGGAAAGGATAATGGGATTACAAATAGTAAAAAAAGTTAAATACTTAGGAATTTGGTTGACGGCTCAATGCAAAACTCTAATGGAAAATAATT